AATACATCTGTAACTAAGTTTTATGACAACTGATTGTGTAGATTTTCAGTAATTAGCAAAAACCCAGTTTTCAGTTTCAAATTCCCGGCCCGGCTCGGTTTTAACTACTCATTTTAGTCCCACTCCAGAATTGTTTTTCTTTGTCTTGTTTAAATTAATTTTCCAGAGACATACACCTTTACAGAAAAAAACTGAAACCCATAAACATTTAATCCCCAAATTATCAAAATACTAATCTAACATTCTGGCAGTAAATAACATATACAGCGAAGTTTTGTTTCACTACATTTATGCACAATGTACTGATCTATGCTGAAAGTGGAAACGGTTGGAAATCGTAAACAAACCTGCAGTGCATGCCAATCCGGGAGTTCGAGCAGTTGTCAAGACAAGAATCTCCTTAAATCTAGAAGAGGTTTCAAAAAATTACCACAGGTTGCAAACTTCGTCAAAATAGCGATGCAGACCCGCTCCACTTGATTTGAAATGATTGGCTATTCAACCGAATACACGTTGCCATATTTGGGTTACTTATCAGAGTAGATCGTTCGTTTTACATTCGAGAAGAGTTTACATATTATTTGAATGAAGAGGATAACATAATACTGAGCTGAAAATTGTGTGTAAAGTATGTTTTAGTAGTTTACAATACAGATTATTAATGTGCGGGAGATTTTATAGATATTGAAGCTTGTAAACAAAGGGTGCAAAACACAGTTTTATGTATGACGTTATCAGGACGTTACTTGGTGAGGGACAAGCAAAACTGACCCCTATAAAAAAATAAAATGGAGGATTGTTACATAGACTTCTGCATATCAATGGAAAGATAAAATTGTGAATTTTGTAAATATCCAACTATAATACATTCATCAATTACTACTAGGGGGTATTTGACACCTGAAAAATGGGAGATATTGGGTTGTTTATGCATCCATTTTCAGTGCACCTATGCATTTTTAACCCCCCTGCTCAACAAAAACAGAAAAAATCAGACAAAATAAGTTGTATGCATTTCACAGAACAAGTCCTAAGGTTTTCTTTTAGTGTGCTTTTAGGGTACATTTTCCACCTCTTGAAAGAGCTACATTACCTGCTAATTGACTCATGCAATTCTGCACATGTGAAAACTGGATGTTTTGAGAGTTATCTCCCCCTATTAAAAAGTCTCACAATTTTTTTTTTCTAAAAATGAATGCACATTTTTTTCTTTAAATATTAAGATAAGACTCTACTTTATGCAAACAAAAACAAAAAAGATGCAGTTTTCATCTAGACTCCTATAAATAGCAGGAAAATCCCCACCCAGCATGCTTCTCTCTGGGAAAAACCCCCTGGATTTTATACGAAACTGTGTTTAGCTACCTTAAAGGAAATAATTTTTTTTTGCAATTCACTTTTTTGTATTTAGGTGCAAAGAGGACAGAATTCCAAACATTTTGGTGCATAAATTGTTGAATTTGGTCCAGAAATGGGCAAGTAATTGTAAATTTAGTATTACATGTCTACGACATTAGTCGACGCATAAAACAGGACTTCAAAGAGAAATTCAAACCTAACCGAATCAGCTCACACAATAATTTTATTTTTCTTCAATTTAAAAAACACAAAGTATGAAATATACAGTATTTGAATATCAATAAAATGTTACATTATAATTTTTTTGAAAAGCTGCCAAACAATTTTTACAGATATTGCTAGTTTCTGTATAAACAGGAGGGGGGGGGGGCATTTGGAAATAGTCACTGTCTTAAATCAGAAGATTGCCTAAAAATCTGGACAGTGTCACCCTAACTAGATACTCAATAAGTCTATGTCACATGTATATCTATATATACAGAAGATACATATTCTCATTTGCGATCAATTAAACTGAAGGTCATGACCTTGCGAAGCTTCCATTTTTGACATGACGTCACACTTTGATGTCACAATGCAGTTGCGTCATAATGTAAAATAACAACTTTAACCCCTGAATCCTTATTATATGTATAAATTCTATGGAACATGTATCTAATAGGCATTATGCTTTACACAGTGTCAACCTGAGATTATATTGTATGGTTTACTACATAAATTAAAACAAATAAAGCAATTTTCTATGAACTTACAGGCAAATAAATGTGGGAAATGTCATCAAATGCTACTCCTTAAGGGTGCAAAACACAGTTTTATGTATGACGTTATCAGGACGTTACTTGGTGAGGGACAAGCAAAACTGACCCCTATAAAAAAATAAAATGGAGGATTGTTACATAGACTTCTGCATATCAATGGAAAGATAAAATTGTGAATTTTGTAAATATCCAACTATAATACATTCATCAATTACTACTAGGGGGTATTTGACACCTGAAAAATGGGGGATATTGGGTTGTTTATGCATCCATTTTCAGTGCACCTATGCATTTTTAACCCCCCTGCTCAACAAAAACAGAAAAAATCAGACAAAATAAGTTGTATGCATTTCACAGAACAAGTCCTAAGGTTTTCTTTTAGTGTGCTTTTAGGGTACATTTTCCACCTCTTGAAAGAGCTACATTACCTGCTAATTGACTCATGCAATTCTGCACATGTGAAAACTGGATGTTTTGAGAGTTATCTCCCCCTATTAAAAAGTCTCACAATTTTTTTTTTCTAAAAATGAATGCACATTTTTTTCTTTAAATATTAAGATAAGACTCTACTTTATGCAAACAAAAACAAAAAAGATGCAGTTTTCATCTAGACTCCTATAAATAGCAGGAAAATCCCTACCCAGCATGCTTCTCTCTGGGAAAAACCCCCTGGATTTTATACGAAACTGTGTTTAGCTACCTTAAAGGAAATAAAATTTTTTTGCAATTCACTTTTTTGTATTTAGGTGCAAAGAGGACAGAATTCCAAACATTTTGGTGCATAAATTGTTGAATTTGGTCCAGAAATGGGCAAGTAATTGTAAATTTAGTATTACATGTCTACGACATTAGTCGACGCATAAAACAGGACTTCAAAGAGAAATTCAAACCTAACCGAATCAGCTAACACAATTATTTTATTTTTCTTCAATTTAAAAAACACAAAGTATGAAATATACAGTATTTGAATATCAATAAAATGTTACATTATAATTTTTTTTGAAAAGCTGCCAAACAATTTTTACAGATATTACTAGTTTCTGTATAAACAGGAGGGGGGGGGGGCATTTGGAAATAGTCACTGTCTTAAATCAGAAGATTGCCTAAAAAATCTGGATGGTGTCACCCTAACTAGATACTCAATAGGTCTATGTCACATGTATATATATACAGAAGATACATATTCTCATTTGCGATCAATTAAATTGAAGGTCATGACCTTGCGAAGCTTCCATTTTTGACATGACGTCACACTTTGATGTCACAATGCAGTTGCGTCATAATGTAAAATAACAACTTTAACCCCTGAATCCTTATTATATGTATAAATTCTATGGAACATGTATCTAATAGGCATTATGCTTTACACAGTGTCAACCTGAGATATATATTATATTGTATGGTTTACTACATAAATTAAAACAAATAAAGCAATTTTCTATGAACTTACAGGCAAATAAATGTGGGAAATGTCATCAAATGCTACTCCTTAAGGGTGCAAAACACAGTTTTATGTATGACGTTATCAGGACGTTACTTGGTGAGGGACAAGCAAAACTGACCCCTATAAAAAAATAAAATGGAGGATTGTTACATAGACTTCTGCATATCAATGGAAAGATAAAATTGTGAATTTTGTAAATATCCAACTATAATACATTCATCAATTACTACTAAGGGGTATTTGACACCTGAAAAATGGGGGATATTGGGTTGTTTATGCATCCATTTTCAGTGCACCTATGCATTTTTAACCCCCCTGCTCAACAAAAACAGAAAAAATCAGACAAAATAAGTTGTATGCATTTCACAGAACAAGTCCTAAGGTTTTCTTTTAGTGTGCTTTTAGGGTACATTTTCCACCTCTTGAAAGAGCTACATTACCTGCTAATTGACTCATGCAATTCTGCACATGTGAAAACTGGATGTTTTTGAGAGTTATCTCCCCCTATTAAAAAGTCTCACAATTTTTTTTTTCTAAAAATGAATGCACATTTTTTTCTTTAAATATTAAGATAAGACTCTACTTTATGCAAACAAAAACAAAAAAGATGCAGTTTTCATCTAGACTCCTATAAATAGCAGGAAAATCCCCACCCAGCATGCTTCTCTCTGGGAAAAACCCCCTGGATTTTATACGAAACTGTGTTTAGCTACCTTAAAGGAAATAAATTTTTTTTGCAATTCACTTTTTTGTATTTAGGTGCAAAGAGGACAGAATTCCAAACATTTTGGTGCATAAATTGTTGAATTTGGTCCAGAAATGGGCAAGTAATTGTAAATTTAGTATTACATGTCTACGACATTAGTCGACGCATAAAACAGGACTTCAAAGAGAAATTCAAACCTAACCGAATCAGCTCACACAATAATTTTATTTTTCTTCAATTTAAAAAACACAAAGTATGAAATATACAGTATTTGAATATCAATAAAATGTTACATTATAATTTTTTTGAAAAGCTGCCAAACAATTTTTACAGATATTGCTAGTTTCTGTATAAACAGGAGGGGGGGGGCATTTGGAAATAGTCACTGTCTTAAATCAGAAGATTGCCTAAAAATCTGGACAGTGTCACCCTAACTAGATACTCAATAAGTCTATGTCACATGTATATCTATATATACAGAAGATACATATTCTCATTTGCGATCAATTAAACTGAAGGTCATGACCTTGCGAAGCTTCCATTTTTGACATGACGTCACACTTTGATGTCACAATGCAGTTGCGTCATAATGTAAAATAACAACTTTAACCCCTGAATCCTTATTATATGTATAAATTCTATGGAACATGTATCTAATAGGCATTATGCTTTACACAGTGTCAACCTGAGATTATATTGTATGGTTTACTACATAAATTAAAACAAATAAAGCAATTTTCTATGAACTTACAGGCAAATAAATGTGGGAAATGTCATCAAATGCTACTCCTTAAGGGTGCAAAACACAGTTTTATGTATGACGTTATCAGGACGTTACTTGGTGAGGGACAAGCAAAACTGACCCCTATAAAAAAATAAAATGGAGGATTGTTACATAGACTTCTGCATATCAATGGAAAGATAAAATTGTGAATTTTGTAAATATCCAACTATAATACATTCATCAATTACTACTAGGGGGTATTTGACACCTGAAAAATGGGAGATATTGGGTTGTTTATGCATCCATTTTCAGTGCACCTATGCATTTTTAACCCCCCTGCTCAACAAAAACAGAAAAAATCAGACAAAATAAGTTGTATGCATTTCACAGAACAAGTCCTAAGGTTTTCTTTTAGTGTGCTTTTAGGGTACATTTTCCACCTCTTGAAAGAGCTACATTACCTGCTAATTGACTCATGCAATTCTGCACATGTGAAAACTGGATGTTTTGAGAGTTATCTCCCCCTATTAAAAAGTCTCACAATTTTTTTTTTCTAAAAATGAATGCACATTTTTTTCTTTAAATATTAAGATAAGACTCTACTTTATGCAAACAAAAACAAAAAAGATGCAGTTTTCATCTAGACTCCTATAAATAGCAGGAAAATCCCCACCCAGCATGCTTCTCTCTGGGAAAAACCCCCTGGATTTTATACGAAACTGTGTTTAGCTACCTTAAAGGAAATAAATTTTTTTGCAATTCACTTTTTTGTATTTAGGTGCAAAGAGGACAGAATTCCAAACATTTTGGTGCATAAATTGTTGAATTTGGTCCAGAAATGGGCAAGTAATTGTAAATTTAGTATTACATGTCTACGACATTAGTCGACGCATAAAACAGGACTTCAAAGAGAAATTCAAACCTAACCGAATCAGCTCACACAATAATTTTATTTTTCTTCAATTTAAAAAAACACAAAGTATGAAATATACAGTATTTGAATATCAATAAAATGTTACATTATAATTTTTTTGAAAAGCTGCCAAACAATTTTTACAGATATTGCTAGTTTCTGTATAAACAGGAGGGGGGGGGCATTTGGAAATAGTCACTGTCTTAAATCAGAAGATTGCCTAAAAATCTGGACAGTGTCACCCTAACTAGATACTCAATAAGTCTATGTCACATGTATATCTATATATACAGAAGATACATATTCTCATTTGCGATCAATTAAACTGAAGGTCATGACCTTGCGAAGCTTCCATTTTTGACATGACGTCACACTTTGATGTCACAATGCAGTTGCGTCATAATGTAAAATAACAACTTTAACCCCTGAATCCTTATTATATGTATAAATTCTATGGAACATGTATCTAATAGGCATTATGCTTTACACAGTGTCAACCTGAGATATATATTATATTGTATGGTTTACTACATAAATTAAAACAAATAAAGCAATTTTCTATGAACTTACAGGCAAATAAATGTGGGAAATGTCATCAAATGCTACTCCTTAAGGGTGCAAAACACAGTTTTATGTATGACGTTATCAGGACGTTACTTGGTGAGGGACAAGCAAAACTGACCCCTATAAAAAAATAAAATGGAGGATTGTTACATAGACTTCTGCATATCAATGGAAAGATAAAATTGTGAATTTTGTAAATATCCAACTATAATACATTCATCAATTACTACTAGGGGGTATTTGACACCTGAAAAATGGGAGATATTGGGTTGTTTATGCATCCATTTTCAGTGCACCTATGCATTTTTAACCCCCCTGCTCAACAAAAACAGAAAAAATCAGACAAAATAAGTTGTATGCATTTCACAGAACAAGTCCTAAGGTTTTCTTTTAGTGTGCTTTTAGGGTACATTTTCCACCTCTTGAAAGAGCTACATTACCTGCTAATTGACTCATGCAATTCTGCACATGTGAAAACTGGATGTTTTGAGAGTTATCTCCCCCTATTAAAAAGTCTCACAATTTTTTCTTCTAAAAATGAATGCACATTTTTTTCTTTAAATATTAAGATAAGACTCTACTTTATGCAAACAAAAACAAAAAAGATGCAGTTTTCATCTAGACTCCTATAAATAGCAGGAAAATCCCCACCCAGCATGCTTCTCTCTGGGAAAAACCCCCTGGATTTTATACGAAACTGTGTTTAGCTACCAAAACCAATAAACGTAGGACTTATTCACGGCAATGTATGGGAACCAGAACAGGGAACCAGTCTAGAAGGCAAAGAAAATTCCGCCAAGTAAACATCAAAGAAAGGGATTTGGGATGTTGTCAGTTGTATGTATACATTATGTGCGACGGTGACTGCAAGGTAATACATGTGTCTTATTTGTCGCTAATAATTCGTTTCATTTTATTATGGAAATTTATCCGTCCCAACACTTGCAGAAATATAATTAATCTTGACTTCAAAATTCCTTCCTCTGTTCCCCCAAGTACATGTAACACTCTTCGCTCTCATTTTTAAAAATTTTCATTGTATATTTTTTGTAGAAAAAAGGAATGTGGAGCTAATGCATGCTGCTAAGGATGGAAAGGTCGTGTGTTGATTGGTTGTGCCTGAGACACCAGTCACAGTTGTACCTTATTTCCATTTTAAGTAATGTCTTTTGAGTTTTTTTAAGTAGAGGGAACAATGCATTTTTCATTCAATATAAATGTAAAATTCTAGAGATAATTTTTTTTCACCATTGCTGGATACTCACTACATGATTTTTTATTCAAAATTTTATTTTCCATGCATTTGTACAGGGAGTCTAGATACATTTGAGGTGAGCGGCAGATTTAATTTTGAAGAAGGGTGACTTTCAGATGTTGTGATGAAGATTGTTGAAAGGGATTATCAGCATAGAACCAATCCATATGAATGTGCAAGTCAGGTGAGGATTGGGCCTTTAAAAAATTATGTTTGTTTCCTGTAACCCGACCGACCAATTCAAATTATCCCTGGGTGGATTTTTTTTCCCTGACAAATGGCAAAACTTTGTTTGATCAATCAGCTGATTCCATTTATTAAATTAAAAAAACAGCTTGTAGTTTAATTTGAGACATAAAATATGTCAACCTAGTTTACATTTACCTTAAATATAAAGAGTAATCATTATTGTAACAACAGTTTCCCCCTACAACTTTCTGAAGTTTGTTTTCTGTCGCTAGGCAGCCATTTTGGATGCCATGTTGGGTGTCCACTGTAAATATAACACCTGGTATTTTCAGTCTGGGGATGTTTCACCATTCATAAGCAAAAAAAAAAAAATAAAAAAAATAAAAAATTCCGACCTGCCGACCCTTGATGTTTTGGGAATGTTACAGGAAATAAACTTATTTTTTTTAAGCCTTGGACTTCAACATGTAATCAAGAAATGTTTATATATTGCATAGCTTAGTGAAAGCACGCCACAAACATTTTAAGTATCTCAGTAAGTTTCATGGATATTACAGATGTATCACTATCTTATGTTTGACTTTCAGTCGCAATGTCTAAATTTCCATTATGTTTAGTTATACATGTTTTAAGTTACTTAAGTATGTCTTCAAAAGCTTCTGCTTTATTTTCAATAGAAGTAATGAAAACCTCTTTAAAAATTGTATTGTTTTTCTTTATAATTTTGAAAATGATTATTATTAGGACTTACAACACCTGAGTGCCTAGATGACTGTTGAACTAATTGGTGAACAAGAAAAGATGTCAGAGAGGGGAATCCAATACAGATGTCATGATCAAGAATATATACTCTTAACAATGATATGATCAAGAATATGTAAACTTGTAATGATTTAAAATATCTTATCTGTAAATCACTCTTCATTACTTAATTGTTCACACATTATCATCTACACTTATGCTATAAATCTTATCTGTATATTAATCGCCCCCTCTTATCTAACCCACCTGCTGATTGTAATGACCTGTGTATTGACTCCTGATCTTAAGGATCTTGTAATGTACTCCTGATCGTCAGGAACGGATCTTGAGTATATATATAGTGCGACAGAATTTTAGAATAAGATAGGAAGATGGAAATATAGAAGACTTAGTAGATAGAACTGTTAGAGATAGATAAAGTTACTCACTTACTTGGACTATTACATAATAATTCTTGGATTTATATGTACATGTGATTGTTTTACTTGAATTTATTTTTTGTGAATTATTTTTCCTGAATGTTTCTATTTATGATGTGCTGTGTAAATAAACTGTAGACTAGAATTTCGGCATCTATTTTCAAGATATGAGGAACAAGGATAAATTAATTTATTCATGCAAACTGACATTATGAAATGTGTTGTAAGACCGCTCGGTGCGGCGCTACAAACTAACTAGGAAATATCTTGGAGATTTATAGTTGAACATGCAAGCATTCATGATTTTGAATGTAATTCAGCAAGAGAGTTTTGCATAAATTTAATTTTCAGTACAGTAATTTAAACTGGATGTGTAATTTGCAGTACAGTTATGTAAAATGAATATGTTACTTATTATGATTGTCAATTTCTCAACAGGACATAATTGTAGTTTATTTATACGATCACTCTTGCAGAACAAAACACACAGAACTTTTTTTTCTCTGTGTGCATCATACACTTGTGAATGTTTTACACCACCATGTTTACATATTTTACATTGATGACATGTAAATCGAGCACACATATCTGGATACATGCAAACATGCATCTACCATAACCTATTACATATTTTCCAAGGTGTGTGAAGTCGAGCACATACATGAAAATGTGTGAAGCTGGACACATACACAAATACACATGCATCTGCCACAACCTATTACATATTTTCCAAGGTGTGTGAAGTCGAGCACATACATGAAAATGTGTGAAGCTGGACACATACACAAATACACATGCATCTGCCACAACCTATTACATATTTTCCAAGGTGTGTGAAGTCGAGCACATACATGAAAATGTGTGAAGCTGGACACATACACAAATACACATGCATCTGCCACAACCTATTACATATTTTCCAAGGCGTGTGAAGTCGAGCACATACATGAAAATTTGTGAAGCTGGACACATATGCAAACACACTAACATATACCACAGACATAAAAACATAATCTAAACTAAGTCAAGCACAGACAGGCTCACTGGGTGAAGCTGGATTCATACATGATCTCATGCATTTTGCAAACTGCATCCTCACATATATTCTAATAGATTTTTCACCATTTTTTGTGTTTGTGAATATGTAAAATGCATCATTTTGCATTACAAGTTGAAGATGTTATTAGCCTGTATGTAAGCGCAAATTAAATAGCCTTTTATGTAATTTTTTCACATTTTTAATTCAATTTAAACTGCAAAGTTTATTTCATATATGTACATGCACCATAAAGAATAAATAATATTGTACCGGTATTATATTTTAAAGTGAAATGGGACCTCCATTTCATAAGCAGAAATGTGAAATTTATACTTATCATCTGTATTTTTTTTATTTTGTCTCACATGTATCTGTAAAGGACATGTAAAGGAA